GTCTCTTTTATAAAGCCCTGTTGCTGATGCATTGTGTGGTCCATGGCACATAATTGTTTCCACCTTAGTGGATATGTGCCTGGGAGCACTCTATATCTTAATGCCAATACTGATGGGCACAGTTTAGGTTTCATATTCTGTCCCTGGTTCCCATAAATTCAAGGGTCACCATACTTAAGATTTACTTCCCAGGTTTGTCAAATTTTCCTCAGTTACCTTTATCCAAATGTTTTTTTAGTAGCCGTATTTCACTTTTGCATTGAAATGGCAACTCAACCAAACAAAGGAATTCAGATGAGAAATGCCCTTGGCACATATAACAATATGAGATGTGAATTAAATGGGAGGAAAAAATCCTCCCCATTGTGGATCTGAGCATGGACGATAATGGAGTTGTGATTTAGTCCATGAAAATATGTTAGACAAAGTGAGCTGACCTTTAGCTTCACTTACTGCTGAGACAAAATGAGAACATAAATAAAAATTAACTTCTTTTACCATTTTGTGAGAGTTTATAATTCATTGGTTTTACATTTATGTGTATAATGTTTATCTAGCTCTATAAAAATGTGCATTATTGCTAAAAGCTCAAGGGATTCCTGTACGTAAATAGAAACTCAGAGAAACACTGAGTTGAAGTTACATATTTTTTTTTCTCTAGAGAAGAGGTTTCTAATCCTAATACAGTGGTTCTTTAAAAAAATATATTAGCCCCATTTGATCCAATTTCTTATACTTGTCTAGCAATTTTGTTAAAGCCATTCAGGCAAACCAGCATCTTTGAGTAATTCTAGAGCTGAGGGATAGTCTTTCAATTGTTTTGCTTCATCCTTTGTAATTCAAATTAATGCCAATATTGCTAAGCAATAAATAGGTAAATCCATAAATTTAAGCACTTTGCGTACATCTATTTATACTTGTACATATGACATCACAAAAATGTATTGGCAGATGTGTACAGCGTATGAGCAAGTAATTTCTATTTCACTTATCTACTTACACTGAGATTAGTAGAAAGCACTATGCCCACATTGCTACAGAAGTGACTTAGTTTCAGTTCATTGAGTATTTTCTAAGAGTAGCATAGGTTTAAGCAATAGAATATGTTACTAAAGGATATGTAAAGGATATGTATGCTCTCTTGTGTTGGAAACCTTTAAAGAATATACTTGAAGACTAAACATCTATTTGTAAAGATCTAATGGGTGCCTTTCTAGAGTGAATACAGTAAAATAGATGACCCTTGGCAGTTCTTAGATTTGATGTAAGAACCATGATCAAGCAAAATGTAAACAACAACCAACTCTTAAATAACTTGTTTCAAATCAATAATACTTTCCAATACATACTCTTGTTTAGTATTTGCAATTCTTTAAGGGGTTGGTATTATTTTCTTTGACAGACATTTAGACACGTATTTCTTGGAAAAGAATCCATCTCTCTTAAATGTCTTTTGTATTACTCCTTTGTCAGGGCTATCATTAAAAAATAACATGGACTAGTGGCTTAAACAATAAAAGTTTATTTTCTCACCATTCTAGAGGCCAGAAGTTCAAGACCAAGGTACTGGCAAGGGTCGGTCTCTTGTGAGGCCCCTGTCCTTGGCTTGCAGATGAACGCCTTGTTCCTGTGTCCTCATGTGGGGTCTCCTCTGTTGTACACATCCCTGGTGTTTTGCTGTGTCCAAATGTCCTCTTCTCATAAGGATACCCATCATATTGGAATAGAGCAACCTTAATAGATTCATTGTAACTTAACGTCTATTTAAAGTCACTATCTCCAGATATGAGCACATTCTGATATAGTAGGTGGGGCATAGGGCTTCAACATGGATTTCAGGGGACACTATTCAGCCTGTAACATCTTCTGTTTATATTTGGCATATCCAGATAGTTGATACATATTTGTTATATAGTAAATTAATTACCAATGAATGAATGCATTGATGGCTATCATTAACTGTAAGCTAAATATTAGCTGAATCACAAACTTTCTCCGATAAATTATCAAAATTATCTATAATCATTATTTGGATACAAAGGACACTTTTAGTGGTATTTTTTAAATAGTTGTCTTAAATCGGTTGCCTGTATACCCAAAAGAGTGTTTACAGCAATCCCTCCCTCCCTTATCCATGGTTTTGCTCTCCTTGGCTTCAATTACTGGCAGTCAGCCATGGTCAGAAAATATTAAATGAAAAATTCCAGAAATAATTCATAAATTTTAAATTGCATGCCGTTTTGAGTAGCATGATGAAATCTTGTGCCATCCCACCTGTGTCCCACCCAGGACTGAATCACCCCTTCGTCCAGCGTCTTCATGCTGTCAATGCTACCCGCCCATTACTTATTACCTGTCTAGGTTCTTAGATTCACTGTCATGATCCCGCAGTGCTTGTGTTCAAGTCACCCTTGTTTTACGTAGTCATGGCCCCAAAGTGCAAGAGTAGTTATGTTGGCAATTCACATATGCTAAAGGAAAACTGTAAAGGGTTTTTCTTTATGTGAAAAGGTGACAATTCCCAACTTAATAAGGCAAAAAAATCATTTGCTGGGGTGGCTCAAAATCTGTGGTAAGAACAAATCTATCTGTGAAATTGTGAAGAAAAAAAAATTCATAAATACTATGTATAGGGTTTTGTAGTAGCTGCAGTTTTAGGCACCCACCTGAGGATTTTGGAGCATATCCCATGCGGATAAAGGAGAACTACCATATTAGTTTTTTGTGACTCATTCAGTGAACACAACTGCAATATTACATGCATCACATTAATACATCTCAGAGTTTCAATAAATGTGAAAATCTTATGCAACCTGGAATAGGAGATCTTTATTTGGATTTGTATTCCCACTAAAATCAATTATGCATTTCTACCTATGGGGTTACAGGCTTAAAATACTGCTTCAGTGGACACTATATATCTTGTAGTACTAGAGAGAAGATGCTGTATGTACTTGGAAGTCTCTATTTTGTTTGTGAATATGATGCTATAGCTTGAGTTTGCTCCTTCTTCCATTGACTGTCGTCTTCACTAGAGTTGATGGGCCACAATAAATTTCCCACATTTTGACTTTTAAGATCTGCATCATCACATCAGGCAGATGGTGTAGTTTATACTTAAGAGGTAAGATTTTCTCCATTTGAAGCTTTTTTCTGCCACAACTAATCTATTAACCATTTTGTTACTTGCCATTTTACCTGACATGTACTGACAGGGTCACTAGGAAGTTCACTAAAGAAATTCAAGTATGTTTTAGAAAAAACCTACATGTACGCATTCGTAAATTAAATGGTTGAAGTTATTGAATTCATTGATTTAAGGTTGGCACATTTCCTGTGGGTGTCTCACATCACTGAGAACTATGGCTTTTATTGTAAACATAATTCAAAATAAGTTGAGTAGAAAGTGAAACTACAAAAAATAAAAACCAGTTACATTATGCTGAAAGCAATAACATTGATATTTATGAAGAAAAACTGAAAACTCACTTATGACTGAGCTGCATATAAGTACATGATGATTTTAATACTGTACGAAAATGTTGACTGCCTTCTGTTTATGCGTGTATATTTTTTAAGTGGTGGTAGATGAAACAATTTAAGAAACGTGACTCTCCAAGTCACTTAGAAATAGGTGGATTAGGGCCAGGTGCAGTGGCTCATGCCTGTAATCCCAGCACTTTGGGAGGCCGAGGCAGGTGGATCACCTGAGGTCAGAAGTTCGAGACCAGCCTGGCCAAGATGGCGAAACCCCGTTTCTACTAAAAATACAAAAATTAGTCGGACATGGTGGCAGACGCCTGTAATCTCAGCTGTTGGGGAGGCTGAGGCAGGAGAATTGCCTGAACCCAGGAGGTGGAGGTTGCAGTGAGCTGAGATAGTGCCATTGCACTCCAGCCTGGGTGACAAGAGCAAAACTCTGTATCCAAAAAAAAAAAAAAAAAATCAGTGGGTTATTTTCATGATGCTAATTTCATTTGCATTGTTTAAATCATGTGTTAATATCTTCTAGATGGGTTAATACACATACATAGTATCAAGTAACATAGAAATTATGAGACTTATCTTAGACAATAGATTTTTCAAAAATATGAGTTATAAACATTTTTCTAGGTCTAATTCTATATAAAATAAAGCATGTCAGTATTTTATGATTTCTAGCTTTAAAGGTCCAACATATATGAGAAAATAAGTTGCTTATTTATGTGAAAAAGTCACAAAAAGTTGAAATTTTAGGCTATAAAGTGCATCATAATGAGGTTGAGCTAAATGCCATTTTTTAAATGCTTCCTTTGCATAGAAAGCATCACAATACGTGTTTTCCTTCCAAAAATCATTGGTAGTTGGTTTATGTTACATATTAAAACAGTGTGTGTTCTTAGACGTTAGTGACACATTAATGATGTAGTAGTTTTTACTCGGAGATAAAGTTTCTCACTAGAGTAGTTTAAAAACAGAACATTTTAATAATTTTGTAATAATTGAGAAAATTGGAAAATCTACATATGAATAGAGCTTAAGTTACTAATAACTTTCTTCTGCAATCCAAACGGTAGGCAATTCTCATTATGCAAGATTGCTTCAATTAAGAGTCTTTTGAGGTATTCTATTTAGTAGTCAGATTTTTATTCTTTAAAGTGTATTTTCAAACCTAAGGAAGATACACCTTTTACTTGTTCTCATTGCAAAATCCTCTCTAATTCTGCATGTATGTCTTTGTTATCTTACGTTTGCTATGGAGCCATGTTATATAGTGATATAATAACCACTTCATATTGTTTGTATCTTTGCTTTTCTATGAAGGATACAAGACTTGGTCAGATAAAGACAAAGTCACACCCCTTATTTAAATGTAAGCAGATCAGGAAGAGTGTCCTTTCCAACTTCTAGCATACATAGGAGACTCCAATTAGATACTTTGGCGGATTATTCATGCCATTTTTAATAAAACGTAGTTACCAATTGTTTACTGATGCTGTGGTTGATTGTCTCTTCCCCAGGTATTGGGAGATCGATGGGCAAACATCTGCAGGTGGACAGAAGACCGCTGGGTTCTTTTACAAGACATCCTTCTCAAATGGCAACGTCTTACTGAAGAACAGGTGAGTCATGTGTGAGAAACTAGCTGTAAAAGGCATGGGGGGATAATAAATTGGAAAAGTAAAGATTTATGTTTATTTATTCCTTGGAATTCTTTAATGTCTTACAGTGCCTTTTTAGTGCATGGCTTTCAGAAAAAGAAGATGTGGTGAACAGGATTCACACAACTGGCTTTAAGGATCAAAATGAAATGTTATCAAGTCTTCAAAAACTGGCCGTATGTAATTTCTAGCTTTCAATAGTCTTATAACCCAGTAGTGTATATTATCACTATTATTTAGTCTCTTCTTTGCTATGGAATATTAAATGTTTATTTTTGCTTGGATCATAGATTATTCAAAAATGTCATATTGCTACTTTTCTGAATTAAAATGGGAAAAAACTCTAGCTGGATTTTCAACTTTGTTTTTCAAACAAAGTTGTACTATTGATAAAACACAGCATACCAGAATAAGACTTCAATTAAAGTTAATAAAGTAATACTAAGAAACGTTTGTGAGCCTTTCATAAAGTTCTAAGCAGCATAGTTCTAAAAAAAAAAGAGACTAAAGTTGATTCTCAGAATAATATGTGAGACATACTAAGTGACGATTATCCTCACATTGATGGAGTTTAACCTTAGTTTATTATAAAGGGATACCTGAGACTAAGTTACTTAAAAAATAAAGAGGTTTAACTGGCTCATGGTTCTGAAGGCTGTACAAGAAGCATGACACCAGCATCTGCTCCTGGTAAGGGCCTCAGGAAGCTTACAATCATGGCAGAAGGAGAAGGGGAGCCAGTGTATATCACATGGCAAGAGTGGAAACAAAAGAGATAAGGGGAATGTCCCAGACTCTTTTAAACAACCAGATTTCATGTGAACTAATACTGAATGAGAACTGACTCATCATGAAAGGGATGGTGCTAAGCCATTCATGAGACATCCGCCCTCATGATCCAATCACCTCCCACCAGACCCTACCTCCAACACTGGGAATCACCTTTCAACATGAGATTTGGAGAAGACAGAGATCCAAACAATATCACCTACTTTTTCAAATAAAAAACATTAAAGCCAATCAAATGGCATTGATTATAAATGCCTCAAGTTTTGAGAAATGAGATTTCTTTGCAGTAAATGGACTTCAGAAAAGGCTTCATTGAAACATTTGGTTTCTGCAGGAATTTCCAAGATTAAAAAAAAAAAAATACAGCCGGGCGCGGTGGCTCAAGCCTGTAATCTCAGCACTTTGGGAGGCCGAGACGGGCGGATCACGAGGTCAGGAGATCGAGACCATCCTGGCTAATATGGTGAAACCCCGTCTGTACTAAAAAAAAAAAAACTAGCGGGGCGAGGTGGCAGGTGCCTGTAGTCCCAGCTACTCGGGAGGCTGAGGCAGGAGAATGGCGTAAACCCGGGAGGCGGAGTTTGCAGTGAGCTGAGATCCAGTCACTGCACTCCAGCCTGGGCGACAGAGCGAGACTCCGTCTCAAAAATAAATAAATAAATAAATAAATAAATAAATACATAAATACATAAATAAAAAAAATAAAATAAAAATACTTCAAAGTTTCTCTTACTCTGTGAATTTTATCATTTCTAGTAAAAGAGGCCAGTCTGATACTGTGAGCTTAATTTTTCAAGTGAAATATTCTGTATTATGATTTCTTAAAATTTTTGATAGATTTGATTAAATGTTCACTTGATATGAACTTTTATAAAACAAAATGTAAGTAGTGTTTCATAATTTCACCTGAGTGAATCGATTTATATATGTATTCATATTATATATTGTACTTCATAATAATGAAATCATTTCTAAACTTAAGTAAATTTTTCCACTTATTTTAAATATGTACCATTTTACCAGATGTTTGTTTCATATATATATATATATATTTTGCTCCATAAATGCTAACCTGCATTGGTCTTTTAATTTAAAATAGATTCACTTATGTATTACTTGTTATTACAAGTTAGCTTATTATTGATAAGAAATTATTTCTCAATGAATATAGACTTTATTAAGTGATGTGACTACCAAAAATAGAGTTCAGAAAAGTAACCTGTATAAGTTTCAAAACACAAGTGCAAAAATATCAGCTATATTTGTAGTTTTGGCCTGCAGCTGATGGGACACCATTGAGAGTTTGCAAAAGAATCATATTTGCATTTTTGTAATACTTTTTGGTAGGAAGATGTTTGATGGTATGAGGATTAATCAGAAGACCTGAACTAAGTAGCATTGGGTATTAAGATAAGGAGAGAAATATTAGAATGTTAAGATGTGATGAATGAAACTTGTGATAAGAGGCAGAAGTTCGAAATGGTTCCTAGACATTTCATTTGGGTGACCGGAGGGTTACTAGCCCTAATAGGAGAATAGAAGAGAAATTGGTGGAATGACAAGAATGATAATTATTTCAGATTTAGATATATTTAGTGTAAAATGTCCTTGAGACATCCAAGTTAAAAATCCTTTCCATTAGTCAGACTACACAACTAGAATCTCAGAAAAGGGTTCATGACTAGTTATTGATTCAGAAGCAATCAAAATGCTTCTGAGGGGTTGTGTAGAGTGATACATTAAGTGAAATGAATAGATTCCAAGGAGAATGTCTACAGTCAAGGAGTAGACAGAGGACAAGATGTTAACCAAAAGATTGAGCAAATACCACAGGGGGAAAGTGGTATCACAAAAATGAGGAGAATAAATACTTCAAAAAAGTAGGAAGTGATATACGCTGTCACATGCCACAGAGAGGAGAGGATAAATTGCTGATGGATTCTATCATATCTAGAGGAATGGATGCATGGATTACATCTCCTTAAAGCAGAATATACCTTACAAACATTGTTCTTCTCAGGTAAAATATGAATCCTTGCAGTAAATAAGTGAGTGACCACTGATTATCAAAATGCATTCATGCCCTCTGATTAGGAGCCAAGATATATTGCTAGTTAAATACAGAACCATGTGCTTCAGACAGTCAATCATAACGGTGATGGTCAATCATATTCTGTGGGTTGAAAAAGTCACAAGCCTGCCCAGATTCAAGGAAAAAGAATTAGGTTTCATTTCCTCCTGGAGAAGCACCAAGATCAAGTTATAGCAAAGCATCTGAGATGAGGATATTTTACAGCCATCTTTGGAAAGTACCACATGCCAGAATAGTACAGTTATTTTACATGATGATAAATTCCAAATCTCAGTATGTAGTGAAAGTTACTACATATATTGTTGACTAGATTTACCAATCAAGAAAGTTGTTCTTAGGAAGCCACAAACTGACAAAATCCAAATATGTTAAAGCTAGATGAGATTTTGCATCTCATCTAGCGTTTCTTCAATCTAATTGCACATCTAAAGTTCATTAGGAACAGCTACTCAGGTTATTTCCAAAAGAAAATCGAGATCAAGAAAAACACAGGACCTGTATCCTACAACATTAGTATCAGACTTAAAATGAACACTAAGACATTCAGACTCAGGTCCAGGTCTTTCAGTCTATTTCAGTACTCCTCATGTCAGTTGATTCCTTGGAAAAAATAACTGCAACTGAGAACTGTCATTTCTAACAATAATGTGCCTCTATGTTAACATTTTTGTGAGCAGAAATCTTGGCTAGCCTCAGGGCCATACAAATGCTGTTTTAACAAAGTCTCAATAATTTTCCAATAGGTTTAAAAACTGTATTATGTCACCTTGCTTGTGAACAAAGAGAAAATATGTTTTCTATAGGTCTTGTCATTTGATAGTTTAAGCCAATTAACAAAACCTGACAGCTGGTCTAGAATTTGAGGTAAAATTCCCCTGCTGACTCAGGCAGTGAATAAGAATTTAATGTTCATTAAAATATGTCACAATCTGAGACCCAAAACAGGTACCATCTGTCACCAGTGTTCACTACATGTCTAGGTATAGATACACTGTGCTAAAAACTCTCTTTTCTTTACAATAAGTATAATTTGTTTTGAAATACTATCACTAATAACCCACGGGATTGTTTCCTCCTTACCGTTGGGGTGGGAGGTGGGGATTATGACATTTAATTTGCTCTAGATCTTTGGGATTAGTGTCCAAATCATGTAGATCTCTTATTTTATATAATCAAAACTGATTTAAGTTTTAAACTGATTTGGCGTCAGGAATAAAAAATGAAGGGAAACAAGAAACAGTAGTTTTTATGAGGTGAATTATAAGACTTGTAGAATCATGTAAATTATCATGGGAAGATCTGAGTCAAGAAGAAATCTGTTCCTGAGTAAGTGTATTGCTGCTGGGGGGACCGTTGGTGTTTGCCAGGTAAAGACAGCTCTGGGGAAGCAGGGTGATCCAAGAGAGTATGCCATATAAGGGCTACAGAAGTACTTGGGAATTGAAGATACTCTTAAATGGCTGTGGGATCAAAGGACATGGATGAAGTGCTTATGGTAACTGAGCAAGTTCCTGTTGACAGTGCTGTTTGACTTGCTACCTTTACCTCAACTGCTGGGATGGCCATTCAGACAGAAGCAATGCTTCTCAAAATGTGTTCCCCCAACCGGCAGCATCAGTATCAAGGAAATTTGTTAGGAATGCACATTGTTAGGTCATCTTCAGACCAATGATTTAGAAACTCTGGAAGTAGAGCCTAGTCATCTGCCTTTCAGGTAATTCTGGTGTTCTTTCAAGATGAGAACCTCTGTAATAGATCAACCTCCCAAAGTACAATTGGTGATTAGAATGAATTGGAGTACATCTTACATATAGATAAGTAACTACACATAATATAGGTGCAAAACTCAATTTTGACAATATAGGAGAAATTGTCTTGGCATTATTCTCTTATGCATATTGCTGATGAGAGTGAGATGAAGGTTTCCTGGGCCTTTCGTAATGATGCATTATCTTTTCACTTCAAATCATCTTGAACAGCTTATCTGTCTCTTCTCCGTATCCACTGCTCACCCAGTCTGATTTATTGACTGTACCTTCCTGCCTACCTTGGAGGTAGGTCCACATGCCTGGCTTCTATAAAAATAAAATATATTTCTTCTTTTACTATCTCCGCTGGCCTTTGCTTTGTACACATTTTCTAGATCTTCCTTTTGCCACCTGAATTTTCTAGAGCACTATGGGTCTCTGGCACTCATAGACCTATGGTTAATTATTGATATGTAGAAATACATATTTTATGCAATCATTAGTAACAAATCATAGTTATTTAATATGCACATGTAAGACCTAAGCTTAAAAGAGCCAACATCAATGGATAGACAGGACAAGGTAATTCTAATGAATTCTATGATCTAATGTGTCTGGCACCATCATGGAGTTTCTTTCTTTTCCTCCCTCTGTTAATCCTGGGGGAGTTCTTCTGGAACCAGGAAATGACTACTGAAAGATAGAAAGAGAGAGAGAAACCGAGACCAAATAACTGAGCTGCCATCATCATTTTTGAAACGCATATCTAAAATTTATTAGGTAGCAGTCTGGGTTCAGTGTTTTTGTCATATAGACATATAAAAATTCATTTATTCAGTAATCACACAATGTAATTATAACATTGGTTTTACTTTACCTTGAGTGCACTTTTCTTAATTGGATTTTTTTTTTTTTTTCTTTTTGGAGATGGAGTCTCGCTCTGTTGCCCAGGCTGGAGTGCAGTGGTACGATCTTGCCTCAGGGCAACCTCTACCTCCCTGGTTCAAGCGATTCTCTTGCCTCAGCCTCCTGAGTAGCTAGGACTACAGGCATGCACTAACATGCCCAGCTAATTTTTGTATTTTTAGTAGAGACAGGGTTTCTCTATGTTGGCCAGGCTGGTCTCGAACTCCTGACCTCGTGATCTGCCCGCTTCAGCCTCCGAAAGTGCTGAGATTATAGATGTGAGCCACCACCTCTAATTTTGTTTTTAATGGTGACTTTCATTTTTGTAATGCTTACCAAATGTTTCTTCATTTGACTTAATATTAAAACAGGAGGCTTACAACACTCCTGACATGTTTCCAGATCATTACATACTTTGTTTAAATAATGGGTAGACCCTTTAGCCTTATACATATGGCTATTTAAAATAGTTTTTTACAGTCTGAGAAAGTAAGCCAAAGAGGATTGTACTTACATAATTTTTTTTATTTTTAAATTTTTGTCTGTCTTTATATTGTGCCTCTTTCTGTAGTTAAAAAAAAAAAAGGAAAATGACACTGTATAATGTAACTGGAGGAATATACATTGAAATTGAAATTCAAATATGGCTCTCAGCTTGAGACAGGTAGCATAAACCTTTGTTCTAGTACTAATGCAAATATTCACTTTAATGGAAAGCTAACATGTGAATTAAACAAAATGAATATGCATAACCTATCTATTGGGCCGGTACGGTGGCTCATGTCTGTAATCCCAGCACGTTGGGAGGCCAAGGCGGGTGGATCACTTGAGGTCAGGAGTTTGAGACCAGTCAGGCCAACATGGTGAGACCCCTGTCTCTACTAAAAATATGAAAAATTAGCTGGGCGTAGTGACATGTGCCTGTAATGCCAGCTACTCACGGGACTGACAGAATTGCTTGAACCTGGGAGACAGAGGCTACAGTGAGCTGAGATCACGCCACTGCACTCCAGCCTGCCCGACAGAGTGAGACTCCCCCAACTCAAAAAAAAAAAAAGGCACCTATGTATTGCTAAACCCCCACACCATGAGTTTTATTGTGATATGAATTCAATGTATAATATCTTAATTTGTATTTTGGTCTATTATTTCAAGCTCAGAAAAATACTGAAGTCATTGTTAAGGAAAAATTTGAAATGAAATTTAAATTTCACTTCATTTCCCCTTAAAAATGGCATGAAGACTGAACTATAACATACACCAGGTGAAGCAGATTCTGAGTAAAAGACAAACTAATTGAAGGAGACACTAGAGCATTCTGCAGTTCAGAGCTATCAATGCTGGTGGCGTGCCAAAATGGACTACTTAGATTGTCCTTTTCAGGAAGGTGTATTGACTGCTCTAGGTTGGGGGCACTTTGGTTCATGAGTAATTGGTGCATCTGTTTCATGACAATTTCTATGCTGTATGTTATGTTAGCTCTTAAATAAACTTGGATTTGTTTCGCAAAGACAGGTATCACGGTTTATATTCATTGTATTTGCTGCCAAATATGGGGTTGTTAAGTGACTGTAAGATAATTTTCTCCTTTATTTCTCTTCCTTCTTCTTTTTTGTTTACAAATTAAGTCGGGGAGTAATGTTTAGTACCCAGGAATTGAATTTCTCCGTGTGCCAGGCAACGTTACTGAGTCAAGTAAAAAAACTGCCCTGATTTACTGATTTCACATAAACCACTTATTCCTTTCAAATCAACCATAGGGAGTTTGTAACCCTCCACAGCTCACAGGAACTTTGGAAACATAAATGGCATAAAAACTGTTTCATAAGACTCCTAAGTATTTACAAAACCTGAAAAGAGATGCTGAAGGATTTATGTCATGCCCAGCGACTTAGTTCTTTTACTTAATGGGCTCTACAATTAGTTTTAAAAAATAATTACTCAAATAACCAGATGTTAATTGATTAATGGATGCTACGAAAATTTTAAGGTCAGTAAATCACATAATGAGATTTTTATCTCTAAATGGTGAACAGAATGTTAAAATGGTGGAAACAATAATATTGTAATTTTATCCAAATAATCATAGCATTTCAGAATGACAAGCTTCCTTAGCCATTCTCATTTTCTCAACTCACTAGCTTTTCTTCAGTACTCCTGGTACCTGATTGTCAGTTTTCATTTGAATTCTGTCAGGAATTAAGGGGAAATCCAAAAGCCATGCCTTCCAAATTCCACATGTTGATCTCTGTTTTACCTTTTGAAGCAATATTACCTTTTCACTTGGATGTTCTTCAAATATTTTAAGGTAGCTCTTAATTGCCTCTAGTAGGTCTTTATTCTACATCTGACTTTCCTTTCTCTTCAAACTTCTTGGGAAAATTAGATAGATTATAACTTTCTACCTATATTTTTCTGAACTTTTGATCCTTTGCAGGCACGATTGAAATATTTTCTTAGCTGTACAAATGAGCAAATACATGCAAAAGCAGATTGAGCTATAGTGGTGTATAAAATGTAACCCAGGTTTATTCTGTGATCTTTCTTGTTTTAACAGGTTTTAAAAGCAGATCTAGAAAAGAAAAAGCAATCCATGGACAAACTTTATTCACTCAAACAAGATCTTCTTTCAACACTGAAGAATAAGTCAGTGACCCAAAAGATGGAAGCATGGCTGGAAAACTTTGCCCGGTGTTGGGATAATTTAGTCCAAAAACTTGAAAAGAGTACAGCACAGGTTAGTGATACCAATTATGCTACAGATGATCTCAGAGATTTTTTAAACCTGTATTAAGAGAGTAACATTATAACCCTACAAAAGAAGCAACCAGATTAGTTTTTACCCTGTGTTTAGTTAAATAAAAACATGATTCTTTTGCCTGTCTTCTTGTTGGAGAATGCTGAGGAGGAAGAGTGCTAATTAACTGAACTTGTTACTGCCCTAGAGTGAATTTCTTCCAGCCCAATAGTAATGGGGAACTGAGTGACTTAGAGCAGGTGAACAAAATGCTGGGAAACTGTATCATCACCATCTAACCCCAAATCAGAGATTGCTGGAACCACTAGGACCATTAGCCAACTCCATTTTACTCTTGAGAAAAATGAAACTTAGGGAAGAAAAGTAAATTTTTCAAGACAAGTTAGTGGTAGGAGGACTAGGGTTCAGGTCCTTTGATTTCTTGGAAAGTTTTTTATTAGCGCGGTTAATTATCTGGCTGTTGTACCTTTTCTGCCATAGACTGCTGATTTCATAAAATCATGAATGTGGCTTAGTTATACTAACACATATGGGCTGTAGATTATGAAAACATCTCAGCTACATTTGGGGTATGTGGTTTTATTATAATAATTTTAAAAAATTTAATCACTAAAATGGGATATTGTTAAAAGCTGAACTTCTTGTCTTATATAATTGGATGGTAGAATAATGAGTAGTCATTCAAGATATAAACATGATATATAATAGTATTTAACATATTCTGCCACATAGTCTGGCATTATAAGGAATAACTTTAATCACAATTCATAGCTCAATGCACATGCATACACTTCCATATTCAATAGATTTTAGGCATATACTTCCTCTATTGTGAGACAAGCACACAAAATTTGTTTTCTTGAGAATTGACATCTGATAAGTAGCACTTAGGAAATGCCTTTTGAAGACATGAAGTTTGTAGTATTGCCTCCAGGAATAAAATTTAAGACAGCATAATAAACCAGCCTATATGATGTTCAATCACAGTTCAATGTTACTTTTAATCCAATTTGATATTTAAAAAAATAATTTGAAGAAATATGAATATAAATTGTAATAATTTCCCACACAATCATTAGATAATAAAAACTCCATTTGTTTTCCATTAAACATACTTTAGCAATTAATTGATCTAGTAATTTTACTACTGTATTGTCATTCCTCCAATTTTATGTGATCTGCCCATGGCTTCTTTAAAATACGTTGGTATTTATGTAATAAATACATGAGACATTAGTCAATTTGATACTTTTTAACCCAACGTTAACATTATTCCCATATGTACCCATTACTTCTGTAGATTATTGCTGCCATAGAATGGTCAGTTGCCATGTTAAGAAAGATTGTCATTATTTGATAAAGAAAGTTATTTTGACATGCATCCTTTTTAAGGGATATGTTTATGGAGCTGTAACAGTTAACCACAGGTCGTGTTCTAGTTCATTTGCATTGCATGCAGTGGTTCTCAAACTTGAGTCTGCATAGTAGCCACCTGAGGAGCTAATTAAAATGCATATTCCTAAACACTTTGCTCAGAAAAATCTCATCCATAAGCTATGATAAGGACCTAAAACTCTACATCTTTACATGAAATTAAGTCCAACATGCATTATAGCATATATCTCTTCACTTGCTCATAGGGATACAATGAAGACAAAATGGACGCATAGACATGAAAGCATTTGAGGGGAAAATGGTTGAGCTTGATATGTAAGTCACGTAGTTAGTCTGAAGGGCTTTTTGTGGTTCACTGTCTGCTTTTTTTTTATTTTTATTTTTTTGAGATGGAGTCTCACTGTGTCGCCCAGGCTGGAGTGCAGTGGCGCAGTCTCAGATCACTTCAAGCTCCGCCTCCCAGGTTCACACCATCCTTCTGCCTCAGCCTCCCAAGTAGGTGGGACTATAGGCGCCCACCACCACGCCTGGCTAATTTTTTTGTATTTTTAGTAGAGACAGGGTTTTTCACCATGTTGTCCAGGATGGTCTCGATCTCCTGACCTTGTGATCCTCTCACTTTGGCCTCCCAAAGTGCTGAGATTACAGGCGTGAGCCACCACACCGGGCCCACTATCTGCTTTTAATTTTATTTTCAGTTACACGCTCCTATTGTGGGCTAGAAACAAATAAAAGGACTTAACATCATGTAAGTTGTTTTCCAGAACACTAAGCTTGAGTCTTTCTTAAACTCATATTTCAGTTTTCTCTCATTGCCTTTCCAAAAATTATGCTGTCATAGGATCGATCCAAATCTTTACTGGTTGTTTTTGAGCTCACAGGAAGATAGAAATGGAGCTACCCAGGAGAAGAGAAATTAAAAGCAGGTAAAGAGAGACAGCAGAGAAATAGTGTCATGTAAGAGCAACTAATTTTCTTTTATCTGTGTCAAATTGACCTTGATCAAAATTACATAAGAATTCCAAGAATATGGGCTGTAAGGTTGTGACTTTGAAGAACAAAGCTCACTTGTATGTGCATTTTCTATAATGATTGTGGGAGAAAAATCAGTTTCATTAATGACTATTCACATGATACCCTCAATTGTTTCAAAAATTATTTTAAATAATTAGTATAAAGAATGAGCAAAGTTCTTATAATGGTTAAAACCTATTGTGAGGCAGGGTATGGAAATCGTGATGGAGATGACAAGGCATCCAATTGTACTCATATAAAGAACACTGCTTGTGCGTATGATTGCTATTCAGGTCAAAGCTTGGAGGCATTTTTGACCCTATGAAGCAGTCGCATGGCAAGAGATCAAAACGTGAAAAAAATAATCAGCTGGGAGGGCTGCTCTCTTGCATTTCAAACTCAGATTTGACTTGAATAATACCTGGACACAAGTATGAGGGTATTTAAGTTGATTAGAAGGTAGCCTAAGAAGATAGAAAATACTTTGTTTCTAAATGTTGGAGAGAGAATGACTCTTGCTATGTGGAGGCTTACAATGAGAAAAGAGGGCAAATATACCCTGGATTGACTTCTTTAAAAACTCAAATGATCCTGTTTCCCAGTAATTTTTCATAAATATACTTGTTGCAATTTGCACAATTTTTTCTAGTTGCCTTAACCCTGATCGATATATATTTTATCTTGATCATAATTGTGAAATATGATAGTGACGAATTCCGTCAACATTCGCTTGTCTGAAAAGGATTTTATTTCTCCTTCACTTATGAAGCTTACTTTGTCTGGATATGAAATTCTGCCTTGGAAATTCTTTTCTTTCACAGTGTTGAATATTAGTCCCCAGTCTCTACTGGCTTGTAGAGTTTCTGCTGAGAGATCTGCTGTTAATCTGATGGACTTCCCTTTGTAGGTGACCTGGCCTTTCTCTCTGGCTGCTCTTAACATGTTTTCTTTCATTTCAACCTTGGAGAATTTTATGATTATATATCTTGGGGTTGGTCTTCTCAGTGAGTATCTGGCATTTCTTGAATTTGAATATTGGGCTGGCTTTCTAGGTTGGGGAAGTTCTCCTGGATGATATCCTGAAGTATGATTCTCAACTTGGTTCTGTTCTCCCCATCTCTTTCAGGTACCCCAAACAATCTTTGCTTCAGAATTTACATAATCCCACATTTCTCAGAGGTTTTGTGCATTCATTTTTACTCGTTTTTTCCCTCTAATCTTGTCTACCTGTCTTATTTCAGCAAGATAGCCTTCAGGCTCTGAGATTCTTTCCTCTGCTTGGTCTATTCGGGTATTGACACTGTGATTGCATTCTGGAGTTCTCGTATTGCGTTTCTCATCTCCATCAGGTCATTTATGTTCCTCTGTAAACTGGTTATTCTGGTTATCAGCTCCTGTTATGTTTTATCATGGTTGTTAACTTCTTTGCATTGGGTTAGAACATTTTCCTCTAGCTCAGGGAAGTTCATTATTACCCCACTTTGAAGCCTACTTCTCTCAATTCATCCATCTCAGCCTTAGCCCATCATCTCATTCCAGTCAGAATGGTGATTATTAAAAAGTCAAGAAACAACAGATGCTGACAGGGTTGCAGAGAAATGGGAATGCTTTTACACTGTTGGTGTGAATGTAAATTAGTTTAACCATTGTGGAAGACAGTGTGGCGATTCCTCAAAGAACTAGAACCAGAAATACCCAGCAAGGCCTTGACTGGGCATATACCCAAAGGAATATAAATCACCCCATTATAAAAATACATGCGTTTGTATGTTCATTGCAGCACTATTCACGATAGCAAAGACATAGAATCAACCCAAATGCCTATCAATGATAGACTGGGTAAAGAAAATGTGGTATATATACACCATGGAATAGTATGCAGCCATAAAAAGGAATGAGATTTTGTCCTTTGCAGGGACATGGATGGAGCTGGAAACTATTATTCTCAGCAAACTCATGCGGAAACAGAAAACCAAACACTGTGTGTTCTCACTCATAAGTGGGAGCTGAACAATGGAAACACATGGGCACGGGGAAGAGAACAACACACAGTGGGGCCTGTTGGTGGGAGAGGAGGGAGAGCGTCAGGAAAAACAGCTAATGGATGTTGTGCTCAATATCTATGTGATGGGTCAGTAGGTACAGCATACCACCATGGCACACATTTACCTACGTAACAAACCTGCACATCCAGTACATGTACCCTGGAACTTAATAAATGTGATAGTAAGAAATGTATTATAATTAATATTTTAAAATAGAATTTATGTGATTTGAAGCATTACTTTCCTCGTTTGACCGAAATCACATGTGCTGTTGAAAGGGTATATTATTCATATGCTTTACAATTTGATATGGTAATTGTAAGTACCATGTTATACCATAAATTATAATTACCATATTTAATATATAATTTACATTAAGTATTATACACCATACACTGGCTGCTTTGGTGTAAGCATATATTTTTTTTCAGGCGAGTCTAAAGGTTTTGTAGTTTTGTGAATTTTTAGTACAGTAAATTGTCTTAGGGATAAGGAAAGTTGTATGACTTATTAAGGTTCAAATAT